AGCGGGCCCCCGCCATTTTTAAAACCCCGCTCGTTCGAACCCTGTGCAGCGCGGCTACACGGGTCACGAACTAGGTAGTTCGAACTAGGCTTCCTAGTTCGAACTACCGTTACTCCTCATTCCACTACCGTTACTCCTCATTCCACTACCTAGTTCGAACTAGGAGGGTAGTGTAGACATACCCTAAGAGACCAAGCTCCACAGAAAAGGGCCTCTGTCTAAAACCCTGACACTGATCCTGAAGACTTAAAGTTTAGAAACCAATGGCAAGAGTTTACTAACTGATGTGAATTGCTGTAATGTGATGGAGGATGAAACATATACATTCAAAGATTTAAAGATTACAATCAACTGCCTCCTCAGACCCTATGCTACCCACACTCCTAGCTACCTCCAAAGACATTACAGGCTATGAGGAACAGTATCCCCGATAACAACACTGAACACCTGATTACAGAGTTCTGAGACTTTGTCCTCAGCCACAACTACTTCCAATTCAGAAACAATTTCTATCTCCAAATCAGTGGCACAGCCATGGGCACCACAATATGCCAACATCTTTAAGGCTGACCATGACGGGGTGGTGCTGCCCCACTCTGAAGCCCAAGGAGTTCCCTTGGCCCAGCTGGCTGAAGGGACCCCACCCCCGTTGTTCTGCTGGGCATGCTCGAGAGTTAGGGTGCAGATAAAAGTCCAGGCAGGCTAGCAGTTAGGGGAAAAAACCAGAGGGGCTGGAGCTCAGGGAGGAGCTCCTGAGCTGCCCCAGACGGCTGCTCCCCCCCCAGGAGCCGCACTCACCACCGCAGCCACCCAGGAGCAGCACCCATAGTCCCAGACGTCTCAGGAATAGCCCCAGCCGCAGCTGCAGCGACAGAGGATCCTGCACAGTGGGGGAAGAGGTAGGAAGGAGTGCAGGGTGGAGGACTGACCTCTGGAAGGTCAGCGTGTTTTGGCAGGCATCCCCGATGACCAGGCAGTGAAAACATTCACTGCCATCAGGGCCCAGGGCTGGGACCTGGTGGAGTGGGAGGGCCCGGGTCCCCCTACCTCTCCATCCCACCGCAAATCAGCCTCCAGGACTTTGAGAGGGGCTCACCCCAGAAGTAGGCCAGAAGGCTGTCTCCACCCTTGGAGAGGGCTGAGAGCTCTTGGACTAGGCCCGAGCGCCGTATCTCCCCTGAGCAAGGGGTATTCACTTTTGGACTAGGCCAGAGGGCCATATTTCCCCAGAGCAAGGGGCATCAAACGTTGGGACTAGGTTGGGGGGGGCTCTTTTTCCACGATGGGGGGCACATCTGTTCTAGGACCCGGACTCACCCCCTAAAACTGACCTTCAACAGCATTTCCTCAGCTCTCGCCCCCAATACTTCTACTTTACTTATTCTACATCAATTTCATCTTCATCATATGGATCCACGGAAAAGACACTCATGAAGAATTCCACAAGGATTTCAACAACTTCTACCCTACTATCAACCTCAGCTTGGACCAGCCTACAAGAGAAATCCACTTCCTGGACAACACAGTACAGTTAAATAATGGACAAATTTACACCACCCTTTATCGGAAACCCACCGACCACTACACTTACCTTCATGCTTCCAGCTTCCATCCCAGACACATTTTTCAGTCGATTGTATACAGCCAAGCCCTACGATACAACCAGATTTGCTCCAACCCCACAGAGAGGGACAATCACCTACAGGATCTTTACTGAACATTCCTAAAACTGAAATACCCACCTGGGGAAGTGAAAAATCAAATTGACAGAGCCAAAAAAGTATCCAGACATGAACTACTTCAAGACAGACCCAAAAGAGAAAATAACAGAACTCCTCTTGTTGTTACCTAGAGTCCACAACTCAGACCCCTCCAATGCATTATACACAATCTACAACCCATCTTGGAAAATGATTCCTCACTCTCAGAGGCCTTAGGAGAAAAACCTATTCTTGCTTACAGATAACCACCTAACCTGAAATGCATTCTTTCTGATAACCATGCTACACAACCACATCATAAGCCTCCAGGAACCCAGCCCTGCAACCAAAGAAGATGCCAACTCTGCCCACATAACTACACTAACAAATTCATCTCTGGAGCAAACAACATAAGCCACAAAATCAAAGGGTCATTTGACTGTACATCTAGTAATTTGATCTATGTCATCAAATGCCAGCAGTGCCCCACTACTATTTATATTGGACAAACTGGACTGTCTCAGCGGGAAAGAATCAATGGATACAAATCAGATATACGTAAAGGGAACACACAGAAGTCTGTTGGTGAACATTTCTGCTTGCCTAATCACAGTTTGACAGAGCTGAAGGTGGCTGTCTTGTCGCAGGACAGCTCCACGAGCCAGATACATAGGGAAGGACTGGATCACAGTTCATCCACAAATTCAGTTCACATGCTAATGGACTCAATTGTGATATGGGCTGGCTAGGACACTTCCTACTTAATAACCTCTGACAGTGCTAACAGCTCTCTGAGTGGTATCCTTCCTGTTTTAGCAATCTATCTATCTATTGACTTTGATTTTTATCTGCTTAAGTTTAAGTACCAATTCTCCAGATACTTAATGATGCTCTGTCTCATACACCCCTTCCTTTTTTCTTTTTCTCCCTTCTCTCCTTCTCCTCTCCTATTTATTTCGAGTTTTCATATCCCTTACTCATAACTCCGGTCATTTGAAGAAGTGGGCTGTGCCCACAAAAGCTCATGATACCATCTACATGTTTTGTTAGTCTATAAAGTGCTACCAGACCATTTATTGTTTTTTTCTGTAACA